TATGAAGAGTATTTGATTCTACCATATCTGGGTCTTGAGAAGAAGATTTTTGAAATTTTAGTCAATTTGACCCTTTTTGGCCCCGCCCCTCAGGCCCCTGGGGGCCTGGGACTAAACCGGCCAACATTTTGTTGACCTTTGTCCATGGAAGGTCCCTGCAAAATTTCATTGAAATTGGTTCAGTGGTTCTTGAGAAGAAGATTTTTGAAATTTTAGTCAATTTGACCCTTTTTGGCCCCGCCCCTCAGGCCCCTGGGGGCCGGGGACCAAACCGGCAACTATTTTAGTTGACCTTTGGCCATGGAAGGTTTCTGCAAAATTTCATTGAAATTGGTTCAGGGGTTTTGGAGAAGAAGGCGAAAATGTAAATTGTTTACGGACGCACGACGGACAAAAGGCGATCGCAATAGGTCACTTGAGACTTTGTCTCAGGTGACCTAAAAATCATGGTAAGGCAATGTAATTCAATCTCTTTGATTTGGAGATAGAATTACTATTTATATCTAAAGCTGAAAGGTGTGTTATAGTGATGGGCAATCGGTTTAAAATTCATAATCGATAAACGGTTTGTAATCGAAAGTCGTAAACCGATCGATGATCGATTGCATAATCGGTTTATAAATTTATGGGACTGAATACCCAAATAAAGTAAGAACACTACCATTACACCAATAGACTGAAGTTAACTATACACTAGTTTTATCAATCATATAATAATAATCAGAATACATTACTTTCAATAAATGTTTTATATTGAAAACTTTTTAACACTTTGATTTTAACGAAGAACACATTATATTGATTACGGAATTTGTAATCGATTATCAGAATTGGAAAGGACAAACCGACCGATTTCCGATTATAATTGATCATCAGCCCATCACTAGTGTGTAAGGACTTACAATTTTTCTACCTGACTATATATACCCATTGTTATATAACAGGGCTGGAGGAGGAGAAACCATAAATACTTTCAATGCGGTCTGAATTCGGGAAAATGAACACTTTCTATATATTTGCCATAAAACATACTTTCATTAATCTGTGATATTGTGTGCAATCAACTTATAAGTTTAAGTAGTGAAAGAGTGAAAGATACGGTATTCAGAAGTAAAGTTTAACAAAATACTCGGTGACAGAAAAATAAAACAAAAGATATTTTTAATGTAACAGGATAAGAAAGTAGCACTATAGCTATAGTAGTCCATTACTTGGAGACAAGCAGATTTAGACAAAGACCAGTCGCCTAACCCGACTCACATAAACTGGTCCTTTTGGAATGAAAATTATGCTAAAACAATATTGTTTGACTGATAGATGAAAAATACAAAGAATAATGATTTCCAAAAACTGTTGAAAATACAGAAACATTGCATGATAACTGTCAAAATTGCCTGTGAGTCACACCATAATTATACTGAATAATTATAAGATGTTTTTTATACTGTAGCTCCAAGTAGCCCTTTTTTCTCCCTTTTAATTGCTTGGGATGAAACCTTCTAGAAATCAACATAGACGAAGGACTAGTAAATAATCTATTCAACTATTCCTGTGCACTGCATACCAAGCCAAAAAGTGCATGTCTAACCTAGAGCTGTAACGATACATAATGGACAATAATCCATTTTTACATAATGATGTCACAACTTCTGAATCGCTATATAATTTAAATGGTGCACTACCTAAAATCTTTGACATAGAAGTATTGTGTCCCCTTACAAAACTGGACATGGAACTTGGTTTTTTATATCTAACAAATACTCATTTACCTTACCTGTCTAATGACCGGCTGCACTTTCTTCCTGATTGACTTCCGCGACTTGTCCCCTTTATAATCGGCATCCTTTGCAGCATCCATACCTTTCAAACTGGCCTTCTTCTTTTGATCTATTGTACTGGTACTAATGTGGCGACATAAAAACCATTCTGGTCCAGAATGCACGAGCAACCCTGACCTTGTTGGCATCCCACACTGCAATTGAATTCCCTGAAGAGTTCTTTGGTGGGACAGACCCTGACCTGTTTTGCCTTGGCCTCTTGTAAAACACTGTAGCTTACTTGCTGAATCACATAGTTTTTGTCGAGTGGACAAGTTCAAAGATCTGTTAAGTTTCCAAGGACATGAAATGATGTTTTCAAACACTTGTTTAAAATGTTCAAAATGGCTTCCATTTGGCCCAACACTTGGTACAGCTCTGTTTTTGCGAAGGTCGCTGTGACTTATATCATGTCCGCGCTTAACAATCACTGACCCATGTAACTCAGAACCATTTAGATTAGGTACGAATAAAGAATGGGCAAATCTTTCACAATTTTCAAATAAAGTCTGTGATGCGGCCCTATAATTTTGTCCCTTGATTCTGTATAGATGACATCGTAACCCCGACATTACAGAAGACATGATGTTATTTCTTCAATAAGTCATCTGGAAAAAAAAGTATCAACTAGAAATTGTCATGGTCATGTATAATTAATTTGACAGGCTTTTCACCTTAATTGAGCCTATGACCTACATGTATAAAGGCTGCATATTTTCAAAGTTAGAACTATTTATTTCCTGGCTTCCTAGAAGCAGATTGTGCAATATTTCTTGCTTTATTTGTGTGAAAATATAAAGCAAAGTATGGAGAATTCTGCAGAACTCCAAAATTGCACAAAAGTGAAATTGGTTTTTGCCTTCACTTTTGAAATGACATATAAAGTAGGTCAAGGAAATTAATTTGCACAAACTTTAGAGCCCTTCTTACAAGCATACTTACAGCCATAATCATCATCCTTGGCCTATTGGTTTTTCATTTAATTCGTAAGAAATGGTTTGAATATTTCTATATATTTTACCTCTATGACCTTGAAAGTGGGTCAATGTCATTCATTTGAACAAACTTGGTAGTCAATCACCCCAGCATATAAAGTATCAAATATCAAGACTCTAGATCATCTCGAATTTTATATGAATTTGTTTAAGTTTTTTAATACCCTGAAATAGCGCATATGAAATTTGAACTCCTAAATAATCCATAAGGTGACCTGGTGGTCAACTCAAACATTTCTTGCGAAAAATATGCACATTGATGTCCTCCACTTTATACCTAAAGCTTTAAAACAATTTTTCCAAATATTCTGGATTAAATAAATTTGAATTTTTAGAACATTTGACCTCTATGAATATGACCTTGAAAAAAGGTCAAAGTTATATTTATTCATTTTGATAACAATGCATCTCAATTTCAGCATATACAGTGTTTTGATACCTAGTTTTTGGTCATTTTGGGAAAATAAGACACTTTTTAGCTAGGGTTTGGTTTGGTTTAGTATTGTTTAACGTCCTATCAACAGCTATGGTAAATTAAGGACGACCTCCCCTGTGTACAAGATGAATGCGTGTAGTGTATGCGTGTGTTTTGGGAAGCTGCAATATGTTTGAGTTTGTCTCCTTGTAATAGCGCGGAACTGATGTCGACTTTATAGTGCTACCTCACTGAAACATACTGCCGAAGACACCCAGCAGGACACCTCACCTGGTCACATTATACTGACAACGGGTAAACCAGTCGTCTTACTCCTAAATTGCTTAGCGTTCAGCAGGAGTAAAAACTACCATTTCTACAGACTCTGGTATGTCCCTGCTAGGGGACAGAACCCAAGGCTTTCCTCACAGGTGTGAACGTTCAACTACAGGCCAAAAGTGAGGCATTGTCAAGGGAGACATTAGGAAGAAGAAAGTTGTTTAGAAAGAAGAGCAAAGATAAGATCCCAAATTTAGTCGCCTCTTATGATCATGCAATGGGGGCAGCAGGTACAATTCTTTCATAGAGGGTACATTATAAAATCGGTCATGTATTGTTTGAAATCAGCGCATTGAATCATAAAGTGTTTGACTGTAAATGGCTGATCACAGGCATGACAACAAGGTTGGTCTTCCCAATGCAAAAAATTGTAGCTATGTGTGCTGCAGGTTTGGCCTATGCGTAGTCGCGAGAGAACAACTTCCTCTCTGCAGTCTGCTCTACCTTTTGCACATGAACCTACATTAAGTTGAACTGAAAATAACTTCATCATTGTTTCTTTCTTCAGACCATTTACTTTGCCAATTTGTTTTAATAAAATTAGCTATTGAAGGTTTTAAAATCAGAATAAGGCAGCTTAATATCTTTCCCTGCCTTAGCAGCTCTATCTACTTTTTCATTTCCATTTACTCCGACATAGCCGGGAATCCAAGTCAAGATTATTTGACAAAACTAAGGGTCATGTTTATAATGGAATTATCGATTAATTTAACCCTAGATCGACTTCATCAGGATCTGACGCACAATGCATGACTACAGATGAAATGCAGTCAAAATCATCTGAGTGACTCAGTTATTTTCTACAGACAATTTTTAATTAGTAAATGGTATGAATTGTTTTCATTTCATTTCGCTGATGTCGAGTAATTGCCTACTGTACATCTGCTACCGAAAAACTGACAACATCAACAAATTTATGGCATACGCACAACAATGCACAAACTATATATAGAGCACAGAAACTGGACACGCACAGAAACTTGACCTTTGACGAAATTTGCTCCTCCACCCCCTACAGCCCTCTAGTATATATTATTAGTAGGCTATTGCCCATCAAAGCATACAATTGCATTTGATTCGATCTGTAGCCTTCTTGTAAAGATCCATTGAGTGCTGTGGCAATACAATCATGCAGCAATGACAGATTTTCTTACCGACAACACTTGTGTCATTTCTCAATTATTGCGTCAGTAGATGCATCTGAATGTCATTTTTCTCAGCACATGTTGTAAACCTTCTTAGGACCATGGTCAAAATAAAACTATTCCGAAAAGAGAAATTGGTCGGAACATTTCGGAACTTACCCTTGACTTACATGGAAATATTTCAAGCTCGATAACTACACCGATTTAATGGCCGCCCCTGGTAAAGCTGCCGGTGTGTTTCACGTGTGAATATGTCATTTTTGCATTCCTATCGACATTTATTCAGTGTACTTACCAGGCGTACTCGTAATTTTTCACACATTTCAACAAGATGTAAGGCATGGATTGAAACGAAACCGTCTCATGAGAAGATAGTTTTGAAGCGTAAGTACACAGGCTCCTGACAGTCATCACTTGTCATAACATATCGTCTAGTCATATGTTTCCGCGCGTTTTTGCTTAATGCACTTTTTATCTTGCTCAAAATGGTCCCATACCTGAAAAAACGTGATAAATTTCATTCATGAACCCGTCTATATTGTAGTATGACAAACGTACGAAAATGTCGTATGCAAATGAGGCCACATTTCCTCGCCGATTTTTTTCCATTTCCGAAGAGTCAAGGAGACATTCTTATCAATAAAGAGTGTTTTCAATGAAACGTTAACATTGTAATGCAATAAACTTCCAATTTTCACCAATTTTAAACAGAACAAAATGAGAAATAACTTACCATCAACCAAAACCGATATAAGACTGCAGAAAAAAAATACTAACAGATTCTATATTATAACTAAATAAATGAAATAAATAAATTTATAAAATTACATGAATTCGTTCAAGTTAATATATTGAATTCTCCATTAAAAACATGAAATTTTAAAATATTTGTTTTCCAAATTAATTTGACGATCAAAGATATTTTTTTATTCCAAACAAAGCTTTTGTTCTTGCAGGTCACTGTAGAGAATTTCTTTTTAGTGTATTCGAGTTATCTCTTTCTTTGAACACTAAATCAAAACAGACACACGGAAACATATGACGGCTACTTCCAACGGGAGAAATTTGTTAAAAATGGTTTGTTCTGATTTTTTTTTTAAATACTGTTTTATGTTGCTAGTTTTTTGTTTCCATTAGTAGATTGGTTACATGTTTATGACAGTCTCCGTAATTTCAACAGTTTTCTGCCGATATGAGTACGTAATCGCGGTTGCTTCTTAAGTGCGCGGAAACCGGTAACACGAGGATAGTACTAATATTAATACCCGACCGGGTATTAAATCGATCCCATGCCTTGTAATGGAGCAAGCCCGGTGTGAATCACCCTGGGGCGATTTTAGAATTAATTGACAGCACATTGGTCTGCATTCATAAATAGGGTTGTAGTATGAACTATTTCTTTTGGAAAGTTCGTCTCTCTTCCGATACCATATAGGTCAGACATCTAAATATGGGTGCCAAGACCCAATATGGAAATTGTAGTAAACATGGCGGCATCAGTAGTAATACTAATACTATATTTGGCCATGCAGGCCATAAATAGAAAGGATAATTGAGATAACGTCACGCGTGATCTGTCATGGTGTTTGTTTCTATTTTTTCCCGAAGACAGACTAAGTTAATTCTGTGAAAGAGTTTTTTTCATTGGTAATTAAATACGGATTTGTTTTTTCAACAATTATGCAATATTTTGATAGCATTATACTCATATGAGGCGTGAATTATATATAGTCTTACAGATTAGCACAATATATAAAAAAAAATCTCTCATCGTCAGAAAGCTACGTTATCGCAGCTAGTCATATACATTATAATTGTGTTTTTTTTTCAAATTTGGGTTAAAGTTACTGTTCACTATTACCTTTTCAACCAAAAATGGGGAATGCAATTTAATAATTTAATTTTGGAATATGTTGACCTACTTTGAGGTCATAAATATTTGCCAACAGCTCTAGCAAATCTGGCTATATACATGTTGGCAGATATGAATATCAATTTGACTATGAATGTTAACAAACACCCAGTTACTCGTCATTTTTTATCTGTTGCACATTTGTAAAAGATGTGCATTGATTAGGTTGCCTTACAACAAGCATCAGCTGTAGGGAATTTCCCTCTAGCGCAGCGGTAGATCATCGGGCTGGAGAGCCAAGGGTCGCAGGTTAAAGCCACTGCGGCGACACTATCTTCATCACTATTCCTTGTCTTACTACAAACGGTGTCATTGACCCTCCTTGTTTAAGGTAGGAAAACCCTTAGGGGGGGAGTCAAAGAACCTGGGTTGGTGTTTAAAAAAAGAGGGGAATAGTGTAAAAGATGTGCATTGCTGAGGTTGCCTTACAAGCGTCAGCTGTAGGGAATTTCCCTTTAGTTCAGCGGTAGAGCATCAGGCTGGAGAGCCAAGGGTCGCGGGTTCGAGCCCAAGCAACGGCACTTCCTTATCACTATTCCTTGTCCTTCTACACATTCATAACATTGTGGACCAAACAAGTGAGTTGCTGAAATCAAAGATTAGTGTCTTATTACACAACTTTAATTGAATTGGTAAAATTCCATTGTTGTTTAAATTTCCTTATTCCTTATTAATATCACACTATAGCATGTGTTTATTCCACATGGTGTAAATTGCCTTACCGAAGATAAGCATTCTGAAGATGCAGATTCAGGTCTCAGGTGTGATTTCGGAGAATATTTCCAGGTAGGAATGAAAACATGCATTGAAAGTTGTTCATGTGTGGAGAGGGAGAGAATCATTTGATGTTTTGGTACAGATATAGTTAGTTTCCATGTCTGACCATCAGATACAGAGGATAGCAGGAATCACTGGAAAACGTGTTATAAGATTATAATTTTTCTTTTTACCAACTCACATTTTTGTCCATCATTTTTTAATATGCACAAAGAAAATGCAACCACAGCTGACTTGTTTGTTTACATTTATCTTGTATAGATTAGTTAATATTTTACGATATACATGTATAGCCAAATCTGCCTATATAGCCAGGTTTGGTGGTGCCCCAGATGAATCGGAGGTGAACAATACAGGTCCTATGGGCCTCTTGTTTGGCACTACATGTATCATTGAGATTTGTTTGATTGAAAACATCTAAAAATTATTTTGCGGACCTTTCAGAATTCATCAAATGTATTGAAGAAACAAAATCCAACAGAAAGACATTCAGCACCTCCTGTACAACCTGTTCCACTGAAAATGCTGGTGATGGTCAGAAAACGTCAGAGAACCAACCAATAAGTTTTACTGACCGATCCCACTTGTGTGGATGCTTGACTACCGCAGATGTCGGTCAGTCTGTCAAGCTGTGTGGCTGGGTAGATCGTGTCTCAAAACTGTTCCTGAAGCTGTATGACTGGACGGGACGAGTGCAGATCACTGTTCCCCCAGACATGGTACTTAGTGTATTGTATTTAAACACTAAAAGTAATGGTTTGAATCGGTCCCATATTCAAAACTGAATATTGGACCTTCAGAATCGATTGATAATCAATGATCGTTTGAAATATGTGCCAAAATGAAGATTTGGTGACACTGGTTATACAGTTTGTAATTATGTTCAATTAATCAAAAATTCAAATGAAATACATGTATAAATGTTTATGAACAAAATTGTGTCTATACTAAAATGTTGGTTGGGAAAAAAAGTGTTTAAAAATTAATTTCACCTGTAGACGTGACCAGTGAAACCTGAAATACTTGTGTCAAAATTCTTGATTAAATAGTAATAATATGTAGTCCTATATTTAACTAAGCGATGATTTTGTTTGTTTGTTTATACCAATTAACAAGTTATCTACATTGTACATCCTACCTTTGTTGTCCTTGTTCTTTAAGGTGAAAATGGTGATGTCTCTGGATCGTGAAAGTGTTGTGGAAGTGAAGGGTATTGTGATGATGCGCCCTGACAGTCAAAAGAGAGCGGTGTGTATAATGCATTATCAAGGGCCTGTTCGTTTATTTGGAACAACCGGTTTGTCTGTTTTTATAAATGAAACATTTTCGGGTATAAATCCTGGCAGACCTGCAAATGTTTGTGCAGGCCTTGCGAGGCTTTGTCAAGGCTCGCCTGAAAGCAGCATTAGATTACTAGATCCAACCATATTTCATAAATGAACAACTCTGGTCCAACCAGTCCAACTGTTTGGATTGCGATAAATAAAAGCGGCCCAAGTGATCTACTTTAATCAAAACGAAGGGTAGATCACTAAGTTTGTCAGTGGAATAATAAATGCCAAGGAAATAAAGGGGGAAGGTGATTCATGTTTACCAGTGTGTTTATGACCAGGTAAAAGGGATCATTATCTTTTATCTGCTATTTATAGCTCTGTCAAGGGAGGTACAATTGTACAGTGCTTTGGGACAGACGGAAGGGGCAGATGTTGGCAAAACATCCATAGTATATACATGTATATATAAACTTTATTCATTTTACGGCATTTATGAAACAAGATTTTTCTACTTATATTAATTACTCATACTTGCCTGGATGGAACTGCACAGAAGATCTCAATATGGGGGCAAACCAGAGTACCCAGAGAAAATGTATGTGGTCGGGCAGGTGATAAAATACCTTTTCCCTTCTAATCATGGAGTCAAAACCCAGCTGTTTTGGTGAGAAAATAACAAGAAAATAAAGTGTCAACAAAACCATAATTCAAACTAAAAATTGATAAAACAAAGGAAAGATTTACATAGAAACCCTTGAAAAAGTACAAGGAGAATAAGACCAGGTGTTCCAGAAGGGCAAGCGTCTTCTGCTTCAGTGATGACCCCCACCCTGTAAATCTAGATAAAATCCATGTTCTATACATTGAGAACTCTGGTATTGACAAGACAACCACAAGGCACACTAATGAACATAATCAAAAACATCGACCTTCATATCAAACAAAGAAATAACATATTTCTCGGCGAGATCCTGATGGCGACCATAAGACTTGTCCTTAGTCTGCATCAACCTGCATTTTTGAAATCATTGTAAGTTTGTCCATCAGCAGTCGACATGCATCATGGAAGTCATGATATTCGAAGCAAGCTGTTGAGTACTGAATCATCTGTGACATGTAATAACTGTAGGTAGGGGAAGCAGGGATGTAACTGTCAAGAAAGGGAAAGTTCATCATCAGAAAGTCAAAATCATCCTCTTGACCACCCTACCTATATAAACATGTAGAAGTTGTACTTCAGTGCTTGACCTATACCCCTAGCTGCAACAGTAGATAATTGTTTTACCTGCATGATCTCCCCTTTTCTCATTAGACACATGTCTCTGTTTTAACTTTAAAAGACTAAACATTACTGCATAAAAATCTGTCCTATTTCCAAAAATATATTTCTCACAGTTGTAAATATATATTGTTTATAGATTCATAAAGCACAGCCAGTGAAATGTTCGTATGTGACCAGTACAATATGTACTCTGTTACTTACACCAGACAAATGACCAGTAAAGTGTTTGTACAGAAAGGTGTAAAATATGTAGGACACAATCTAATGGACAAGTTAGACGCACAGTAGTCTAGTGGTAGGACGCCGGGCTCGTGACCAAAGGATTCGTGACTATCCAGAAAGGGAAAGTTCTTTACTTTCTCTTTCAGGCTGTTGGCAGTGGGGAGGTGGAGATTCCTCTTTCAGAGATAAAAAGTTTTGAACACATCTCTGTGTTGTATTTTTGAGACATACTTTACTCTGCTTGTTCCAGTCTACTCAGCTGTGAATGAGTGCATGGTTGGGCAGTGCTAGAATTGTTGAATGCTAGCTGTGGGTGCCTTAATGGCAGCACCAGCTGTATGGTCCCCAGGGAGTTGAGAAAGATATTGGCTGGTTGCAAAGGCCCTATAACCACGGATAATAATTTGTGAACCGCTTTGAGACGACCTAGGAACTAGGTTGTGATAAAGCGGTATATAAGAAACTCAAATTATTACTATTATTTAGTCAGTTTGGCCATGCTATTACTAATTGCACACTGAATGAGTCCATGCAAATTTTCAAAATGTTTTTTGTGTTTTTGAAATACAAAATGTAGCTAGAGATTTTGTTTTGGATTTTTTTTTGTTATTTGATGATTAACTTGAATCTACATTTTGTTTCAGTTTTGAATTTAAATAGTTTTAAATACATGCTTTAAAATTAGTTGTGTTATCATATAATTAAACTGATCAGATTTTGAACATTGGGGCCCATGTCTTTAGTACCGACTGGGTGTGAAACCCATTGTTTTAATCTTTACTTTCTCCTTCAGGCTGTTGGCAGTGGGGAAGTTGAGATTCTTCCTTCAGAGATAAAAGTTTTGAACACATGCAACTCACTGATGCCATTCCACCCTACCTGCATCTCCTATCAGAAGGTACTTGTTTAGGTGTATACAATGGACTCCATTAAAGAGACATACCAGTATTCCTTATATGTTTCATTTCATTGTTCAGTATTTGTTATGATGATGGATGCAGGAAGTCCGGTTTTGTTTTGTTTTTATTGTTTCCAAAGTTTGATTATGCTCTACTCTTTTAAAACTCATTCATCCCTGAAATTTTATAATGAACTATTCCAACCTTTGAATTGGAAGAGTTCAAATGTGTTTTTAGGGGTTAATGAGTTAATATAATCATAATTCTATACAGATATATATGCATTTTGAAGCCTATTGATAGTTCACTGAACATGGAGAAACAAGTGAACGCTATTGCCAAATCCTGTTACTACCAGATCAGGAACATCGGCTGTATTCGGCAGTTTTTAACTGCAGATGCATGCAAGATTTTGGTGCATTCACTTGTTCAACAGGGTCTTTTGAACGAATTTTAATCATAAATACTGATATTTTGCCTGTAGCTTTATTTTAGATCACTTTTAAGGTTATAAGTGTGAGTTTTATACCAGGTGAGCGATGCAGGCCCATTGGGCCTCTTGTTAAATATTTGTTGAGGAATACAGTGACATCACACAAGCAATTCCAAAGTTATTTTGAATTTCAATTCAAACTTGGTACAAATGTCAAGTATAAGAATACCTCGAACAAATTTATTTTTCAGGAACTAAAGGTGAAAGGTCAAGGTTACTGTTATTACAATGGTACATACATTTACTTACTTGAGTAGGGGTGATTTCGCTGGGTAGGAAAGTCAAGAATCGACAAACAGTTCAGTTTTGACATCTCATTCTACATTTAGGTGACCTCGGACGTCAGAATGGAACATCGTTATCTAGACATCCGTAGTGTTCAGATGCAGAGAATTCTACGTCTCCGTTCATCATTTATCATGAAAGCTCGAGAGTTCCTATGTAACAATCACGGTGAGTTGTTTCTACGTAAAGTAATAATAGGTGAAAGTCTACATCTGCTTGTTGCGTATAAACATTTGTGAAACTGATAAATGTTTTGTCTGAATTTCACAATGTTTCCCTATACATGTGTACAAAGTTTGATTCACCAAGCCAGTTACTTTATTGTCATAAAGTCTTCATAATTTGTTGAACCTTGAACTTAAGTTTGATTCACCAAGCCGAGTCACTTTGTCATAAAGTCTTCATAATGAGTTGAACCCTGAACTTAAGTTTGATTCACCAAGCCGGGTCACTTTGTCATAAAGTCTTCATAGTGAGTTGAACCCTGAACTTAAGTTTGATTCACCAAGCTGGTCACTTTGTCATAAGGTGTTCATAATGAGTTAAACCCGGAACTTAAGTTTGATTCACCAAGCCGGTCACTTTGTCATAAAGTCTTCATAGTGAGTTGAACCCTGAACTTAAGTTTGATTCACCAAGCTGGTCACTTTGTCATAAACTTGATTATTGATTTTTTTCATATTCAGGACATAAATTGATGTGAACTAAAACAGATTTTGTTCAATAATGTCAAACAGCAAAATATGCTGAAACCCTTCATTCCACCATTATGGTTACCAGGTTAGTGAAACCCCCTGCCCCACCCTAAATTTTTATTATTCATATATATAGCACAACACATTGAAGAAAACTAAAAGAAAATTAATGAAAAAAAGTTGGTCAGAAAAGAATTGATGGTAGCCTTCATTTCACCATGGGGCATTCTTATGACCATAATGGTGAAATGGACCGCAGTTCATTTCACCATAGGCTTCATATTACCTTACTACACTGGTAATTCTTGCAAATCGAAACAAAATGTTTCTTTATTTACTTGAATAAAAAATACAAGGCACACCACAAGAGAAGATTGACTTAGCATTTGATCAATATTGACCAATCATCCCTTTTCCTTATTCAGTAAGTTCTTTTGAAGTAATATCTTTGTGTTACAGGTTTTGTTGATGTGGAGACACCCACCCTTTTTAGAAAAACACCAGGGGTAAGTTGAAGAAAAAACACCTGGTGGGGATTTGAAAAATACACCTGAAGTAAGTTAAAAATCACCTGGGGGGGATCTGAAGTAAGTTAAAAATCACCTGGGGAAAAATTGAGAACTACAGAAATGAATTTTTTTAGAACTTTTCACACAAATATTCCAATTTTGAGAGTATTTTAACCACTCAAAGCAATAATTTGATTTATAGCAGCCAGGTAATAGAAATTTAACACATGTGCTGATTTGTTTAGTTTTCATCGTGGTTATTGGAGATAGACATGAGATAGACATGTCGAATATCCAGGCCTACCAGTTTTTAACAAATTTGGCGAGGGAAAGTACATTATTCTGCTCATTTATGCATAAGTAGTATCCATTTCACTTCATAAACACGGGGTAAATAGCATTTCATCTAGAGGTTTTTTTCTCATTTTTAGAGGTGCGGCGTCCGTACGGCGTCAACTTTTTAGGTCACCTGAGACAAAGTCTCAAGTGACCTATTGCGATCGCCTTTTGTCCGTCATCGTCCGTCGTCCGTCGTTCGTCGTCCGTCGTCCGTCTGTAAACAATTTACATTTTCGACTTCTTCTCCAAAACCTCTGAACCAATTTCAATGAAATTTTGCAGGGACCTTCCATGGACAAAGGTCAACAAAAAT